CGTCGAGCCCATCGCCCTCTCTCGCACCGCCGCTGCCTGATTTATCACCAGGTCGCCGGACGAGCCAAAACTGTGCCCCTGCTACTCAGCATAAAACTAGAACGCCGTTCCGTAGGCTTCTCATAGAATCATAGTCCTGAAGGACTCTCGTTACCTTCAATCCCTTACCTGCTCAGCTACCGCTACCCGGGCTACCCAGGACACCAACCGAGCCTTCAATGCCAGACTATTAGCCATCCGAGTACGAAACCCCTAAAGGGAAGTTGTACTAGGATGCCCAGGATGCACCAAGCCTGCAAAAATCCGTCGTCGTTCCCAGCCCGCATACGAACTAAGATGGGTAATGGACCAGGCCCTCGTGGAGGTTGTCTGACTTAGCACCCCAGCACCTTAACTTAAAAAGAATTACAAACTGAGAAATATCAAGTATAGTATATCTAACTTGTCTTTGTGATCAAAACACCGGACATCGGTCAAGAAACCACTATTAGCGTATTCCCGAATAATTATATTAATTATTATTCTTAGGACAAAATCAATCTCCATAAACACTGCCAAGAAAATAATAAATATGAAAATAGCTCACCAATGCTATATAGGAATACTTAGGCGACCACTACATACAAGATTACAAGCAGACATTCGCTATCCGGTGAGGAACTTGTAATAACTAAAAAAAGCCACGACACTTTTCTGAATCCAGAAAAACCGCATCTGAGATTACCTATATCAAGTTCAAGATCTCCAAAGTCTGTTAACAATAGCAAATTTTCACATAAAGAACTTACGATACCATTTCTAAAAACACATTTACAAGCAACTACCAATGGATCTAAACGCGAGTGAAGATAAAATGACCACGATGTCACTTCAAATTCTATAGACGATATTAACTTGGATAATAATATTATTAACAGCTAATCGACACAAGCAACCTTTTTCAAACCTTATCTTGTATGGATAAGGCAAACTCTTGATTACATTCTGTGACAAACATATGCAAATGTAGGTACCTATTTAAACTTATACAATGCTCACTTACACTAATCTATCGAAACAAATTATATGCCTGTTGATTATGCTTACAATATTATACAATGGCAATTATACACTTTTGATCTCATTTAAACAAAAAATTTTACTAATATTTTAAGCTTAAGTCATATCATAACTTGTTTGTTTATATGGTGTTTGTTTATATTTATTCAAACTGAGAACGGCTTTCGTTTAAAAATTCAATATTTATAAAATATAATAATGATTAACTTATTTCTATCACATACTTACTTACAGAATATGTCAATTAGTTACACTTTTTATATTAGTTACACGTGGCATATGTTATATTTTAATATGATACTATCACGAAAAGCTAAAGCGTATCATCAGGTATTTGAAGAGATGTTGTCAATCTTTTTCCGATCCAGATCTATACTACATTCATTGATTGTTGATGTCGATCTTCGTTCTTGCTGTTTTCTTGAATCTCCCTCCTTGTTGAAGATTTCGCTTTTATTTTAGTAAATTCGTACACAAATAGCATTGTTAAATTTTGAAGTATTGCCTGTTCTTTAATTCCACACATATTTTGAGCTAATTTGACACAAATTGTTCTATGCCATTTAAATCTAACTCCACAAGCATTTCTATTTTATTTTCTTGATTTGTCTTAGTTGATATTACTTTCATGAATCTTGATTTTGAATTCATCCCCATTTCAGAGTGGTATTTAGAAAGAAGTATAGGAAACATATTTCAAGATAGTCTGTAGTTCTCTTCATAAATCGCTTACGTGTGAGGTTCTTATTTTCATAGTCTCATCAGCAGCTGCTTCTTTGTTGTATTCATATTCGTAAACCCTATTAACGCCTTACTAGCTTTTTGGTTCCAAGGCATTTCTAACGTTTCCAATCCGTCGCATCGGTTGAATCTAAAACCGCCAGTTTTTTCGCGGTCTAGCAAGCATATGTAATATAAATGCCACCATACTTTCTCAGTATATTCTCGATGCAGTAGAGTGATAAGCTTCGTAAGCCTCCAGTTTGATTATTGAGGAGTAGTACAAGTATCACTTCAATATTATTTTGAAATTTCACATATCACTACTATTTATTAAACTTTCGTTAATACGTCTTGCCAGTATGACGACCTCGTTGGTTTGTTCTATGAACCCCCTGTAAGGAGATGGGGTTGTTACCTGAATTCTGAACTTATTGTATTTGGAACAAAAGATTCAACTGTGTACGTTCCCCGTAAGTTATCTTAAGTCTTTATTACAACAAAAGATTCAACATTAACAATACAACAATTATATTTTTTATTAGTACTTACAAAGTCTGAATGAAGTTCTTAAAGATAATTTGAAGCTTTAGAGTTGTAAATAGGAATTCTACTTACAATTATATTTTTTTCGTTAAGTTTTCTAGAAATTAAGGATTGCTTTGTTGCTATTGTTATACGATATTATCGGCCGTTGCTATTGTCTCTTCCTCTGCTTCCCGTTAAACCATAAAGCCTGAACAAAATAATGTGTTCGAGGGGTTATTTGTAGGTAATAGAGACTTAAGAACTACAATATTATTAACATATGACTTTGTATTGAAAAAGTAAAGACAGCTATGTTTATAAGCAAATACATACTTCTATATAAAGTATAATACAGAATTCTTTGAAAAATGTGTTTTAATTTTGTATCTTGCGTCATAACGTACTATTTTCTGCAGTTGACCTTAATTTGCTTGCAATTATTAGAAGAATAGTTGTTGATTTTGTAACAAAACATTCTACACGAAGCTTGTGCTTAAAAAGACCCTGTACCTATACCTAACTTCTTAATAGAACTTACTTGACTTCAATGAAAAGATGGCCTTAAAATAACTTTTTAGAATATATGGTATTAATTTGATATTTTCTTTATAAAAAACTAGAAACTGTGAAAGCGAAAATATCCTCTTTTTTTTAAACTACATAGAAAGCTTTTTCATTTAATCGGAACTTAAATGCTTAACATATTATAATTTTCTTTAAAAAGTTTAAATAACATTCTCTCAAAACTATCTTTTAACTAAGAATATATTCATGGCAATTATTTAAAAATTACAGTATTAACTATAACGTCGCTAACAAATAAGATGCCAATGCGTTTTAGAATAAAATTATTTAAAAACTTGACACCTATAATGGCCTTTTAGTGGGTCCTTTCTTTGCAAGGCCAAAATGTTCCTTAAAAAGACCGAACTAACAATTATTATCTAACGAAAAGCGTTTTTAATCTATACTTATATTATAAAGTGGAATGATTTGATTTTGGGTTTGTTTACATCGAATTATCTGTTCAATTATTGTAGATATATTTTTAATCAAATTATTTTAAATAATAATAAAATAATAACTTTACTATTACTTATTTATAACTAGAAACGAAGTGTTCATAATTCTATGATTTGCAAACTTTCGTTGTAAAGCCCAGGTACCCTAGCATGGCAAATGCATAGGCAAGATAAAAAGTTTCATTGGCTTTACAAGGTAACACCGGCATTCATAGGAAAACTGACAATATATTAACTGAAACAAAATCATTATTTATTCTTTAGTAACATATAAAATCCTTTTATGATTATTTATAAAACATAAAATAATATTATAAATTTATAATAGGATATTTACATTTAAAAAATAATACCTTTTGTTCTGTGCAAGAATTACAATTTTAACATTAAAGTCTGAATTCTAAGAAGCGAGGAACCTCACCATCAAACTAGCATCAAGCACGCCGCTTCGTCTGTGTCCTTAGGTTTAGTAGAGCTCAGTGTGAGTGGAAAATAAATTGACATAATATGACAATAACTGTTTTTTTTATATATTTGGCCTTTGAAGAAACATGGCCTTCCATGGTTAACTAAGGTGTAGTTAAAATTTATTGAGATGTGACTTAGGTAAACATTAGCAGAATTGACTTTCTATACTTTTGTATATATTAAATTCTCAAAACAGTTTCCAAATATTCTATTAAATTTTGCTGTTGAAATAAGTACCTACATATGCGGTATCGGTACATTTAATAAAATAAAACCACTAAGTAGTTCTTAATTAGAAATGAACATTACCGATGATTGATTGTGGCAGCCATATCCCAAGAACGAGGTCTCGTTCACGCAAAATTACCGTAACCCTATAAATCTTATGACACATTGAAGCAACTGTAGTTGCTCTTATCAAAATATAATATTGACACAGTGTAGGCTTGTTTCAGTGTGTGATTTTTCCCATATATTAAAAGAAAAGTTATATTTAGTGCTTATGATTATTACCTAAATGGTCAATGTAAATTGGAAGAATATTTTTATTTAGATTTTCTTTTACTTCATCGGAACTTTTTTGAGGATTTTTTGGGTAATTTGTGATGAAAATTTAAAAGATGCTATTTTCATCAGTCTATTAATGTTACCAATGCTACTTCACAGGCCTTCCCTATAGATGAAGAACAGGTTATAACCAACCACGCGAGCTTAGCATGAATTGCTGAATGTTAATCATTGCAGATGAACCTGGGACCACGTGTCTTCTGAAATTCGAAATAATACATTTTTGGTCACCTGTCCTATAACCGGCCCTCGCATTATACATCTAACACCCTAACTACTGCGTCTAAACACTAATATAAGGATCTGATCAATACCTACAGTTTAATTCCTGGACGATAACAGATCGCTACCGCTGTTGCACATTATTATTTCATATTATTGCTCTGTCATTACAGAAAGTTAATAATGTTTTGAACGTTATCTAGTAGGTAAATACTAATTAAACTATTAAAAACCATCTTACAAATAAAGTTACAGTAATAAACACAAGTTGAATATAGAAAAGCTCGCTGTCCAGCTTCTGGCTGACTGCTACTGTTGCATCAAAATCATCTGATTACGTTATCGGCTACGACAATCAGTGATCTCGTAGACTGCATCGAGTTGGTCGTATCTATCGCGAATAGAATTAGTTTCAGTCACGGTGGTACAGCGGGCGCGGACGCTCGGCTGCTCGCGCGCATCACGTATACGTGTAAATCAGTTCAGTCCAATCACTGCCTGTGAATAATGCCTTAAACGCACGTGCACCTCGCCCACACACGACGCGACGCGTGCGCACTAAACTGAGTGACATCAAAGTTTACCAAAACATAACAAAATAATTCAAATCTCTAATTCAGATCACTACTTAAAAACAAACCATCAAATGATAAATACTAAACAGAGCGAAAAATCATGAGTTAATTGGTCGCTTTGAAAAGCTGCAACCTTGTTTGATGTATTGTTTGAAATAAGTGAAGTTTAAAATTTAAACTCTGATTGCTGTGCGAACATTCAACTGATGGTCTTTAGAGAAGATTAATCGATCAATCAATCTGCCGACTGCATAGGCGCTAGCCGTCCTTGCCCCAGTACGGTGCCAGATACGAGACGCATTTAGACTGCCTATCCGGCTTCTGCTCCCACAAACTTTCTTTGTCACCAATCACTCAACAACAACCCTTGCTGTGCCTAAATTAAGATTCCAAATCGATGCGCTGATAAATCTGTCGCCTGTGATCCCGGCAAAACTTTCACGTAGCAAATTTAGAGGATTACCAACCTTAACTTTAAGATATAAGAGTAACAGAGAACAGCAACATAAAATTGTAGATTTGTAAACATTGGAACGCGGAGCTGATTGGTAGGTTCTTGTGCTGAACTGACATTTTGGTTGCTGAAGACTGAATTTTATTCTGATCGATTGCGTCTAATAAAAACCTTGTAGATATATAAATTAAGATGATCTACATTTATCGTTTACCCGTCAAAGTAATATTCTGGTTAGTCTATTGATATATTCACCCTAGGAACAATACATAGTAAAACCAAAATGCCTTATAATGTTAATAAGTATATGTTTATTGCCACTATCTATATCTATACCAATATCATAAATAGGAAAACTGTTGTTGTTTGTTGGTATACTTATATTATGCATTGTATAGGTTCAAAAACTACTGAACCTATTTTAAAAATAATTTTATTTACGAGAATCTACATCATATGTAAGACTTGGGCCATAACTGGCGCGGGCGAAGACAGCTAGTCAAAAAAGTGGTAAATAATATAACATAGCTACATTTAGAGTACTCTTATATCCTATTAATATTATAAAGTGAAAGTTTCTTTGTTTGGATGTTTGTCGGTCAGTCACGCCGAAACTAATGAACGGATTTTGATGAACTTTGGTATACAAATAGGGTATTAGCTTAACATTTCCCTAGGGACCACGCGGACGAAGCCGCTGGTGAAAGCTAGTTAGAAATAATTGGATAAGTATTGCCCCTGGGTGAAATACTTCAAAGGGCAAGTGATGGACTAACCGCAATATTCTATCTTTACTTAACAATTTATCTATGATACAGGCTATCTCTCTATGAGTATTTTTATGAATTCTTTCGTCATATACATTTAAAATCCTTCCCAATCCTATTATCGTCTTCATTAAAATCAATATACGAACGAAGTAAAACAATTCAGTTTGTTTTCTACAAAAACTAGATTTCTTCGTGTCGTAGTTCTACGATCACAAATAAATCACGTTTACGTACTGTAATGTGGTTACAACCGCAGATTCTATTTCGGAACTCCATTCAATGTGCTCTCGAGACGATCCACATCGTTTCGTAATTTGTAGGTCCATAGTGGCACAGTATAATGGTTTGTTATTAAGACGCGTTCATCTATCACGTAATGCTCACAAAAATCGTTCAATACAATTTATATTTTACAGTAGAAACATTTCCAATCGATTTAGGATTATTGAGTTTCAAAAATTACCAAAAACACCATTAGATATTTATGATCTATGAATGAAACATATTTCGTTTAAAAACAATTTTGATTGTTAGCTCAATAACTATAATATTTCTCCCAAACAGAACATACATCTAAAGCCTTTTATTATTGTGGATATTCTAACTGCGGAATTAAAAAATAATATAATAAAGCGACTAAATTATAACGTTTATTTTGACATCGTTAATTAAAAGCAATGGCCCAACTTTAAATCATAATTTATATAAACTAATCATCAACATTGTTTACATGATAAAATATTTATGGCAATGAATAAGTGAGATTATGTTTATATTCCGGCACATTTAGTTATATATAAGAGTTATTAATATAACAGACGTACCTGATTCCTTCTTGGTCGTACCCAACCAGATTTGTAATTTGGCTTCTAATTATATTTGTTGAATCACAACGAGAATTTGGCTCTTACAAGATTGTTGCATTAAGAATCTTATTTAATATGCAATTCATTTAATGCAGTGGATATTTTGTCATTCTTGTAACTCGCTCTACTAAAATCTGCTTGAAGGTCTATTTCTTTATACATTTTTAGTGTTGTCGGTTTTCTGTCAAGCTAAAAAGTTCTTGGATGCTGATTGTCTCATTCCACTTTTGAATGTTTCTCAACTAAGACTTTTTCAATAGCAAATCTTTTCAATTAGCAATCACTGTTGTCGCTAATATCTGCAAGCTTAGCTCAGCCATGATTCATGTCTTTTAATATATCTCAACGCCGCCACTTGACATTTTCGTTTAGGCACAATACATCTGATGCAGATAGTTTGTTAGGTTGACTTTTATTGTTGTAACAAAAATATTTCAACAATTTCACGGAAAAATCAAATATTTTTTTCAACGAGGTCATTACTTTAAACCGTCATAAATGTGGAAATAACACTGTATTTATGATATTTACTCTTAAAATAAAATTCGTATGGTCATGCAGCTTTTTAAATTATAGTAATTTTCGAGACATTCACATCGTAAATAGCGAAGCCAAAAATATTTATGAGTAATATTTTCAGACGTATTGAAAATGAATAAAGTCGGAAGCTTATTTGAAATTCTTTTTCCGAAGGTCAGCGATCACTGGGCCTCGTCTCATCATTCATCATCTCACGCACGCGTTTGACGTATTCTCATATTTAGTGTAACGTAGGAATGTTGCAGAATTTTCGTTGAAGTGATTTTTAGGGTTCCGTAGTAAACAAGGTACCTTTATAGTTTCGCCATGTCCGTCTGTCCGCCCGCGGTTTAGATCAAAACGATCGCTACTAGAAAGTTTTTATTTGGAATAAAAAACATGTGTTTAATGGTGTTTAATTTTAAAAACAATGGTGTTTAATTTTTCATATTTATAATAACAAATAAGTAAATTAAGCCGACAAAGTGGTAAAGTAACGATAAAAAAATTCCAACGACTAAAAGACTTATCCAACGATACCCATAGTGTGGGGTATCGTTGGATAAGTCTTTTAAAAATATTGGGGATGTGAGAAGGCGTAGTAAACCGTTTGTGACTTATTTAGCTTTTAAGAGCTAATTTTAGTTAGAGTTCTGGCACCTAAACGTTGCTAAAAATTCGAACGTTATGGCAAGAATACCTGTATATAACGAAGTAAAAGGAAAACTATCACACTTACAGTCAGTTGCACAAACATCCATTAAGGTATAATGACGCCTTTCAGCTCTTAATTTGACTTAACAAGTTTACGAGTAATAGTCGACCAACTGTATTTAAATTGAAAATTGCGAACAATGATGAAGTATTTAAAAAAAGAAAGCACTAACAAAGCACCTTACTGGATGGCGACTCTTTTTGCAGGAAACGAATGGACCAAATATAGTAACTTCCGTTCCTTTTAACTAACATATTAAAAAACTGAAATTTGCAAAGTTAGAAACTTAGATATCAATACGAATATGAAGAAGTACAAATAGAATATGAGTTGTTTATTGAGTTTTGAAAATTAATTTACTTTTATACATGAAAGAAAACCGTAAGGGTTGTCATGGAGAAATCAAGAAAGTACCATATCGACATCTAATTTGATTTCAGGAACTAATGTCTTTTAATACTTCCTCATTCCATAAAAAACAACAAACATTTTTTTTTACTTTTTTCAACGGATAATGGTACGGAACCTTGCGCTCGCGTGTCCGACTCGCACCTGCTCGGTATTTTTATTTCATGCAGTTCATAAAGCTGACAAAAAACTGAGACAAACATGACAAATAGAAACAAATGACAGCGCGAAATAAAGCGCCATTGAATTTTTAACATAACGTTCTATAGAATTACGGTTATTATATACCTTTACTATTTACCAATTACCAAAAGTGGCGTGGAGTAGCTCGGTGGCGTAGTGAATAAGCGCCGTGGCCCGCGATCGTAGTCGTTAAGCAACTTTCGCAAGGGTCGGTCACGGGATGGGTGACTAAAAAATTATTATCTCGAGCTACTCCGTGCTTCGGAAGGCACGTTAAGCCGTTGGTCCCGGCTGCATTTGCAGTCGTTAATATTAATCCGCATTGGGCCAGCGTGGAGGTTCATGGCCCATCCTCTTTAACCATCCATAAGGAAGGCCTGAGCCCCTGCAGTGGGGACGTAAAAGGGCTGGTGATGGTGATGATAATTACCAAAAACGCACTACCTACCAGTAATTTTTTTTACTTTATAATGATAGACTATGGTATCCTCATAATAATTTCATTTAATATAACATTATGAATTTTTCATTATGTCGTCATGGAGTCGAGGTCATTATTTTAAGAAAGTTTTATGTGTCAAAAATGTTTTTTTCTTATTATCTATCAAAATCTCTCGGCGTTTTTAAAAGAAATTTAGAATATCTTTTGAGTATATTCCGTTTCTTGAACGCATTTTAACTCCATGTCAACATATAACATAAAACCAAAGTAAATATGCATCTAAGTGTATCTCTATAGTAAAATTCAGTAGTAGGCTTTTAGTAATTATGAGTAGTAGGGTTTGATTATATCTTGCCACCGAACACGGCAGTGTAATCGAGTTCTTCTATTATTTTTCATTATATCAAAAGTAGGTTATTTATCAACTATTTTAATATGGTAAAATTAAAGGGAAGACACGCCTATGCCTGCCTAAAAGTAAAAATGTAACCAAAAGAGGCAAAATCGCTGTAATAAAGTTCTAATTCAATATTGTTTATCTAGATAAATAGACTGGTCTAGGCTGTTAAAAACACATGTGAAAGTAATGCATTCAGTTCGTATAAACGGTGGGAGACATAGTACCGAGACGACCCGTTAAGTATCACCAAGGGCCGTTTTTTCACCCTGTTTTGTTTCATACAGAGATTTGCAATTGCAATGAGACTTTACTATGAACTCATTTTTCATTTTTTGTAATGCATCAGTATCTCTTTAGTCGTGCACGCGTAATAAAAGACAGAATGTCTTTCGAATAACAAAATCAAATCAATATCTCAAGTTATTAGAAGTAATTAAAGATAATATTACAATCAAACAGGTGAAATATCACGATTTTCTCTTTTTCCAGTTAGGAAAACTGTTGAGCGTCCTAGTTTAAAAGCTCATTGGGCAAAACAAGCTTCATAAAGAATGGGACTGCTTGCATTGGCGCCAAATCGGATTCCACGTCTGTCACACGTTTCGATGATTCTGAAATATTCCAGACCGTTTTGCCATAAATCCAATTGCCTTGGTAGATAATTTTAGGACTATTTTCTAGGATGGACTGTACATCCGACTCAAGGTTGCTCGAAGTTGGCGGTTTGTAATCTGCCAAATTTATTACAATTTGATGTAGTGATTCCTTTTCTCTATAAATTCTTGTTGTCGATAAAGTTTAGACAGCTATTGCTTTAAATATTTTTCAGTAGTAAATTTCGGAAGCCCATAAATCAATTCTATGATTGTTTACCTAAGAGAAAAGCTTTATTTCTCCATATTTCATTTATATGACAATGGCAGTTAAATTGTTCATGTTTTCCTAATCTCAAGTCAAGTAAATTTTCTTAATCTAAAAATTGTAACTTCACTGACATTATAACAATTACACAACTTGATTGAACGTTTAAAGTAAACAAAATTATTTATGGTTTCGTTTCACGTTGTCTAGTGCCATTTCGGAACACATCGGATGCCCCATTCTTCGCAAGTTCAAGTATAGTTAGGCATTTGGCAGGCATCGTTGGCAATGTGCTGACAGATGAATTGCGCCACGGGGCGGGACTCGCGGCATGCCGTGCCCTAACTACAAATCATTCTTGTCCAAATAATCTACATGCAACTGTATTGTTCGCGGCGCAAATGCACGAACTTTGCATTGTCATTACTAGATATTATTTCGAGAGTTACTATTTACAAAGCTGGTAACAATACTAAGTCTATTGTAGTCGCTAGGTCTACGATTTCTCATTATGTACTATTTTGTTTTTCTTCTTCTGTTTACATAATTTCTGCAAAAGTTGGAATTACAAACGGTGATTAGCTATGTATTGTCCAACATATGTTGACTAACGTGTAACTTTTTGCATTGTAAGGTCTACATTAAGTCTTGCTCCTCCACTGACTTTAAAAGGTTGCAGCTTTATCAAAACCATGTTCCCCAGATAAATTAAACGAACGAGGGTGATACTCACTAATCACTTTTTTAATTATAAAACTGAGTGTTTTGAGATTAAACGACAGGACAAAAAGTGAACTATAGTAAAAGTGCAGTGAGTAGACACAATCACGAGATATACATCACGATAAATAAAAACAAATAAATAAAAACAAACTAATCAAAAACATAAAAAATGGACACGGAACACTATACAGATTTCATGTCAAAGGAAGCCATAGGTCAGTGTTTATGATATCGGTGCTATAAGATCTGCAATATTTTTGTCAATTCAGCACTTTTAGACAATGAATTAATAGTAGATTTTGTATAACAGCATTAGCTCTATTACTGATAAAACTAGCACTTTATTTTTAACGTTAAATGAAAATACCAACATTTTAAAGTCAATGTCAAATGAGACATTCGTGATTGTCAAAATAATAATAAATTAAGAATCTTGAAATTATAAAGCATGTGTAACTTCATAATATCTGTCAGAATGGAATTAAAATGTATTATTGACCTGTATATTCAAATTTGATAAATCTATGTATATTCATACAGATTGTACAGATGTAAATCTTCCACTTGAAGTACGAAAGACAAAAATATTGCTTTCCTTGCAGACGATATCAACAATTGGTGTTTTGATTGTAATTAATGTTTTAATATTAGAAGTACTGATTTAAATTAACAAGTACATGCATTACATTAGGTAATTACAAAATGTCACCCCAATCTGTTTTGAATCTAATACACAATGAGATTGAAAATGGATTGCTTACAGAAATTTGACAGATTTGGATTACTTGATGTGATGTTGACTGTACAAACGCTGGCCGTCACACTATCCTCTATCTCACTCTACTTTTTACTTCAGCTTTTTAAAATAATTTATAATTATACAGTTACTTGAATACTTTTAGCTAATAATTTAGAGGCAAACTTTTTCTCACTCAATGTTACACAAATTCAATTTACTCTATTATCTTATGCACAAATCTTTATCTACACTAGCATAATTTTTTATAAAAGCTACTGTTTTATACTTCTAGTCTATTTACTTTTATAGGCACACTTTTTTTTAATCTATATTTTTCACTAAATTAATTAACTGTCTATGCATAAATCTTTGTATACCTTTGCATGACATTTTTATGAAAAGCTACCGATTTTTTACCAACTAAACAACTTAATAGTTTTAATTGATTTATAAAAAAAGTCTTACACTTCACTTCTTAACATCTTCAACGGGGAAAACACGTACACACGATAGCACATCGGTTACCTCAAAATATGAAATTACTACAATTAATGCTTCGATCAACAATCGATCGAGGAATAAATGTAAAAAAAAATATTAGGTTAGAATTGCAAAATAAGAAATTGGGCAGTTATTGATAGTTGATGTGCTATTGATTGTGCAAAAAGTAATTATTGTGACTTAATTATTTCTATTTTACTATGTATTTTGTTGTATATTACATGATATTTGTTAAAAAAATATTACATGATATTTGGTAAAAAAATAATATAAAATATAACTTGCAGCACTGTTGCATAACTTCAAGCCGTGATTGACCTATCAAAATGTAGAGTCCTTAATGATCTGCCAGCCAGAAAGATCGAGATTTAATTCGATAGACCAATCAGGGCTTAACCTACCGCAGTAGAGCCGCTGCTCCGCTGGTAGTTTTTCCAATGTACACCAAATAATAAGGTGTGGACTGTTAAAAGTGTATATTATTAATTACAGTTTTTTTTAAATTTTTTGTAAATAAAAAGCAAGTCCGCTTGTCATCACATTTTGCGTACAAAACGAGATTGTTAACTACCCTGTCTTGTTCTTGTTCCTTGTCTTGTTTTGTTTCATTAAACATTAGGCTGAGTTATTTTGTTTTTTACCATGTCATACTCCTACAAACACAAAATATAATATACATGTCAGTAAACACATATCATCGTATAACAAAAAGTGCCACGCGTGTGTGCAGAGTTTGGCGAGTGGGTGAGCAGGGTCGCGGTACCGCGGCTGCTGCGCACGCGCAACGAACCCAGCCGACGCCGAAACTCGGGCAACATGGAAGTAAGTTTTACGATTAATTAGTTAAACATGAATCCCATATATCAGATAAAGGAACGATGCAAATCTGACTGACCGGGCATAGGTACATCGAGTTTTTGAGGAAATTCAGCCCTGCAATGTTATTTTTTGACAATTCTGCGACTGGATGATACGCGATGGATCTCCGATCAGATATGCACCGACCCTAATGATAGAATTCGATGATAAATAGCAGTTGTTTTAAATTAGTTAGTGAGAACTCCTGTCATCTTATATCTCGAAAACTCAATATTATAATGTTTCCATTGTAATAATCTATTAAACCAAAGGTTGGCAAGATTTTCATCATTGCAACCCAAAATAAATTTATCTTATTTCAATTCAAATCGTACTTCCCTATCAATTACAATTTCAAAGATTTATTCACACATATCGATTTCGGCACAGTACCTACCTTCATAAGTCCATATTACCTCTAATGCTTCAGTTGTGTTCGTGTTTCTTTTGTCACATCAGTGTTTTGTCAGTCATAATAGGCAAAAATAAAGAATGTAGTTGCTATGTTCAATGAAAAAAACCAGCAATTGCTTTAGACGAAGAAGAGGAGCATTATTACAGAAAAGAAAGAAAACGAGTGCATGAAGTATGGCAATTTAGAAACTCAGAAGGAGAACTCATTCATTAAAGACAAAGGAAATATTTGCTCCCGCATTCTAAAACGACAAAAAATAGTTTTTCGCCTCTAAGTTCAGTAATGATAGTGTGGTAGCACTAACACAGAGAGGACAAACAACAGATAAATCATATCTGTCTAAAGAAAATAAAAAAAAAGCATAAAAAAACAAAAAAAGACAAAAAGACAACCTGCTCAAAAGTGGGGGAACCTGCATAAAAAAAAATAAAAATTAAAAAATTAAAAAAAACAGAGAGGACTGGAACGTCACCGACACTATAGGATTCAGTTAAGAGAACGTATGACAGAATCTAAAATAAACGGTCGGTGCACGAAGTATGAGTCTCATCAGTCGATATCCGACCTGACAAAATTCAACCTCGCACACTCAACGAAAGGACCGTCGTCGCGTATTAATGCATACTTTCTTAAAACATTTAATCTTACAGCAGATGTCCTAAATATTACATATACTGAAAGTTAATCCATGGTTTTAATGCACCTTAAGTTAATCTGTTTACATTTTTTATTTTACGACTCCACCTATAATTACCATTAAAAAAAAATGCGAAATCAATGAAAACTTGACCACGATATCCTTTTGACTTGAAGAGATGGTATTCATCTTATATAGACAACAGGTCTCAAGTAGTAGTTATTTTCAATCATGTATCCTGTTGGGTGATTATACCTAGCGATTATACCTCAGGGCCCATTGCTAGGATCTCTCTACAACGTATTTGTTAATAATATAGAGAGTTAATTAAAGTTCTCAAATCATCTTCGCTAACGATAAAAAGATATAGGTATGCTTAAATAAAAGCTGTTCAGACTCTGTGACACTACGGACTGACTTAGATAATCTAGGCGAATACTCTGTAAGAAATAAGTTGGATCTTAACCCCAATTGTGCTTCCTTTTTTTCATTTATTAAAGCCCATTATAATAAATCGGATTTACACTAGGTCTTCGTTATATAGGTGTACTATGGAGTACACCTAAGTATCGAAGAAGAAGAAGGTAACGAGACTTATTATAATAAGCTGTGTCTTTGGGGTCGTCCATTAATCACGTGAGGCTCGTCAATAATCACGAAATATCACAGTTGGGGAAGGGAGTTGTAGTTATATATCACGTGTATTTATTTTTTCCTCAAACGCACGATTACTAAACCAAAAACTGACGTCAAAAATTAAGATTTTTTGTAGGTACTAAAAATATACGAGGTTTAGTCTTAAACCTCACCATGTATCACCGAGGAGGAGGGGGTTAAAAATGTTAAAAAACATCACGTGATCAATGGATTGATGGCCACTTTATGCGGAAACCTGACTTGGAAAATTGGCTTATACCTAGTTACTATCTTTTAAATCTATGATGTTTGGATAACTGTTGGTTTTACACGATAAATAAATAAAAAGAAACCTTACAAATTCATTTAAACCTCTAAGTTGTGGTAGCGTTGTGCTTGAGATTGAGTTCGACGTTGAATTTCTTACAGAAAAGGAATGCTGGAGCTTCTACCCACTTGTGAAATATTATTAAACAAAACATATTTATTGATAAAGTCTACAAAAATATTTTTTATAGCTATGGTTGGAAACATAACTACATAGTTAGGCAGTCGTTCCTCTGATGTGTACATACACATGAGCAAAGGAAAAAGCACATTGATCTGAGCTAATAATAACGTTATTTATCGTTTATAAAAACTAAAGCGTAGCAAAATATATATTTGTTAGTGCATGTCTCGTCTGTAATGATATTTGAGTTATTGTTTAGACTGCCAACAGTACCGGTATCAAGTTTTATTTTTAGTTGTTTACTTTCTTCCACGCGATTGGAGGCAGTCTGTGTAATTTTTTTATTAACAACGACATCTATCGGATATGTCTTGAAACACTGCAACGTTTATTTACACAAACTAAAGATACTTTAAAATTAGACTCGTCTGTAATGTTTACGAGGAAGTGTTTGATTGTACTGCTAGATGGCGCGACTATGCGTGTAGTTGAGCTTTATGAGAATAATCTTTATAAAGTCAGTAATTGAATATCTGTTATGATTAAAAAGACTTATTTTTTTTACTTAAGGGTCGCGATGGTGCATTGGTAGGGTATTCGATCTGCAATGCGGAAGTAAAGCTTAACTTGTTTTTCGGAGCACAGAGAATCGTTCTTACGAAAGTTGCTTATTTTTCGCAATATAGAACAAACGCGCTAACCAATGCGCCATTATGCTCATAGATAGGTATTTATAGCAGTGTATTAATATTCAAATATCCCCCATGCCAAGTATAAACTATCCACTGGAGTTTCCCCACTGACCGTTTCTATTTTTATTTACTTTGCAATGACTACGTGGGATGGTGATTAGTAGTTTCTGCAATATTATTTTTAAATATTCCCGTAAACTTTTCATGTCGTTGTTAAAATGCTTGTAAAATGTATAATATGCTACTTGTGCCATGAATGTATTGCCCGTTGAATTATCTAAAAAACAATATAAGAATATTACTCAAAATAATATTAAAGTACCTATCTAAAAACAATTGCTGTTCGTTTGTCTCACTAAAACTCTGATTTTGGTTTTGTCAATTTATAGAAGTTTAGATGTTATTTCGCGACTTTTGCCTCGTAAATTATAATCCATGATGTAAATAAAATAATTTTCATGATCGGATCTAAGGTCACGGAAGTCTCTCCGCCAAGCATAAAAATAAAAACGGCACGGCCATACCATCGTTCTTTCGAAGCCGTTCGAGCCATTTTGACCGCCCATAACTTCGTTGTGAAGTTAACTACAAACCTTAATTTTCAAGTTAAATTTCCTTAATTTTGTCACTGATTGACTCATAGATCATTAAAATTCTTTAAGTGGACCCACAGGCTCCAAATTTTGATCGCAGTTATTATTTTGCATACAAAGTATCTCGCGTCTAGAGTTCGTTTTCTACTGATTATTGTTCGACATAACAAATTGGCCAGTTAAGATTCGGACCAATCGTTGTTTAGCGAACGCTGTATGCGAGTGATAGAATAAACGTCATGATAACGATAACCGTAAAACATGAAATAAATCAATGACGGTGAAATTAATAAATAAATGACGTTTACGGCCGTTTTGTTTATATTTACATTTTTATTTTATCTTGAAAAATGATTTCCATGTAATACGAAGAACAAAATCCAATTTTACGAATTATGTTGGCCACGCTGCAGACGGACGCTTCAAAAATACTATAAAGGGCATCATGCGACTTAAACGTCGAGAGTGTCTTAGGTCGTATACCGCAAGGCGATTTAAAACGAGTGAATCAAAAATAGTGCTCCTGTAGGTTAAATCGTACATTACATATTATGTTCAGAACCAACCAGTTATGAAATATTATTCCGTTTTTAGTTTTTTTTTGGATTATTTAAATCTGTATAGCACTTCAAAAGCATCCGTCAATGTGTTGCTTAGTAATATAAACCAAAGAGAATGAGGAAGTAATAAATAAAAGGAAAGCATTTAAAAAGCACTTGCACTAGATGGCGACTCTATCAAAAGTTGATTTTTACAGAGATAGTCATCACCGTTCCTTTAAACTAGACGTGTGCGCCGCGCCGCGCCGATGACCGACGCCGCCGATCATGACACGCCGCCGCTGACCGGTTAGAAAGATTGGCGTAAACGGCGCGGGATGGCACGAACTGCGAAACATTCGTTCGCTCGGTTGCTAAGTAACGTAGTGCATTCTCAGCGGAACATGTCAATTCCGTTCCGTATTCCATCCTTATTACCATAACTAGTAAGATTTTAATGAATACAAAAGTAAAGTCACTGATCAGGATGCAAACAAATAAATAATCGAATCTTTCTTCTTTAATTACAGCTGTCAACAACATTTCTGTCTATACCATTTCTATATGGCTGGTTTCGGTATCATTAAAAAGTTTAAATTTTAAAGATTTCGAATTCAAATTAGGAAAATGTGTGATTTTAATTTGTTTTTCTTACTGTTAAAATGAGTAAATCTAATGAGGAACTTAGATACATTGTAAAATTTTATTATAAAAAGGTAAAAATATAATAAAAGCAACGTAAGCCGCGTAAAAGATTTGTGACGTTTATGAACCGAGTGTAGTTTATGTGAGAGTAGCACAAATTTGGTTTAAGCGTTTTCAGCCCGGAAATTTTGATGTTAAAGGTGTACTTCGCTTCGGACACTTAGTTACGAAAAAAATGGATGCCATTTTTGAGAAAGTGAAGCAAGATCGGCATATCAGTAGTTAAGACGATGCTGAGCTCATTGAAAGAAACCTAATGAACCGTGTACTCTATTGTGATTCTTTGTTGCGACGTAATGAAACCGAATCATTTTTGAAGAAGATATGATATCTGGTGATAAAAACTGGATCGCGTAAGACAAGAACATGCGAAAAAAATCGTAGTCAAAGGTCGATCAGACTTTACCGACTGTGGCGAAATCCGAGTTAGCGTGGCCAAAAGGTGATGCTGTTTGTATGGTGGGTTTGAAAGGGCATTATTCATTATGAACTGTTGCCGCTAGGCAAGACCATCGATTCTGAACTTTACTGTGAACAACTGATGAGATTAAAGCAAGAAGTTGAGAGAAAGCGGCCAGAATTAATCAATAGAAGGGAGATGGTTTTTCATTAAATTTAAGAGAGTTTGGCTGGGAGGTGTTAATGCATCCGCCGTATTTCCTGACCTTGCATCTTTAGATTTCCACCTGTTTAGGTCTCTTCAGAATTCTTTAGGCACTGCTAGGTTACCATCACGCAATGATTATCAAAACAACTTGCCGCGGTTTCTTGATTAGAAGTCCCAAAATTTCTATAGCAATGGGATCATGTCCCAAACACACAAGATTATACAATTACAAGATGGCAAAAAGTTATCGAACAAAATAGTACCTACATACTTTAGTTAAATGTAAGTAAACTTTATTAAAAATGTTTAGAATTATATTCTTAATGAAAAATGCTTAAAAAATCCACTTTGTCACTTTGACCCATGGATTGCTAAAAATATTTTTTAATATCATTATGACTAAGTTACATAATT